TCAAAGCTGGTTAGAATACAAACACACAAGGATCGAATGATCATTTCCCCTCTAAGCATACATTGCTAATGGGTCTGATTGGCATTATTAGGTAATTATTATGGTAAACCAAGGGAGCCCAGTATCCTGGAAGGAGTTTTTACTTAGTGAGGAAATTCTTGATATTTTAAAACTAGTTATCTGCATGTTGTAAAAATAAACGAATTAATAAGCACATTCAATTTAATCACCTACTATTTTAAACAGCTGAGAGTTTTTCATATATTTGCAGGAAGAATAAAAATGAATTACTATTTTAATCCCTTTTGCATGTCAACATACCATTCCATTTAAATGTATTACATTTATTTCCCGATATTTATATATCTTTGGCTAAACAGTTGATCTGCTGGGTGCTGTGGATACATTCTTTTCATTAGGAAGCTAGAATGCTCAGCCTGTTCTTCATTTTGGGCTTAGAGGAATTGGCCCTTGTTAAACATCATATGCTTTGATATATAGTTTCTTTTATTTTCAGGAAAGTTCAAGCAAAACACGAAGACTAGAGAATATAAAACTGATATTGTCTGTTGTCTGAGCCAAATTATAACTGCCTTACCCAAACCATCCCTCTCTGAATGAGACGGATTTATAACCTAGAAAAGTTACAATATACACTATACTTTTTTTTTTTTAGATTTTATTGTAAGTTTATAAAAATCTTGAATTTCCATTTATTCGTTGTCACACATTTTCCTCCATGCCCCCCTCCCTCTCATTCAATTTTTTCCTTTAGAAAAAAAGTTCTTTCTTTGTTATATAGCCGTGTCCCGCCCCCCCACCCCAAGACCACTTTACTACACAGCTCTTATTCTGGAGTCTTGTCATACCAATAATGCTTAATCATATATTCCTTTTATACAGTTCTCTCCCATGTCTGTTTCAATGCCATGTACATTATTTATCCCCTCTTTTCTTTATTTCCCCCAACGCCCCATCAGTTCTATTTTCTAACGGTGGCATTATACACTATTTGTCTTTTTGTGACTGAGATATTTCACTCAGCATAATGTCCTCCATGGACACCCATTTTGTATAATATTTCATTAGTTGTTTTTCAATGTTGTGTAATATTCCATTGTGTGCATATACTACCGTTTCTCTATGCATTAATTTGTTGATGGGCACTTGGATTATTTCCAACTCTTTGCTATTGTGAACAAAGCAGCAATAAACATGGTGTGCATATATCTGCTTGGGTGGCACTTCTGGTTTCTTTAGGGTATAGTCCCAGTAGTGGAATTGCTGGGCCAAATATTTCTATTTTCAACTTTTTGAGAAAGTGCCACACTGCCTTCCATAGTAGTTGCACCATTTTACACACCCACCAACAGTGAGTAAGTGTTCCAGTTTCTCCACAACCTCGCCAGCATTTGTTGTTTGCTACTCTGTTGAATTTTGCTATTCTTAATGGGCTAGGTGATATCTCATCGTTGTTTTGACCTGCATCTGTTAGAGCTAGGGAATTTGAACATTTCTTCATGTGTTTGTTTGCCAGCCTAATGTCTTTTTTGGTGAAGTATTTGTTCATATCCTGTGCTCATTTTGCATCTGGGTTGTTTACATTTATTTTGTTGTGGTATTCAAGTATTCTATAAATTCTACATATAAGTCCCTTGTTAGACATGTAATTATCAAATATTTTTTTTTGCCCAGTCTGTGGCTTCCCCTTTTAACCTGTTGGAGAAGTTTTAGGATGTGCATATGGATTTGATTCTTAGAAGGTCCCATTCATCTATGTTAATCCTCTCCTGCTTGTAGGACACTATACTGTTTTTTTGAGAACAATTAAGACCAGCAGTGTTCTAAAATTACTATTAGTTATTGTTAACTCATACTATATAGTTTCTAAGAATACAGGTCAACAAAGAGCCCAAAGTAAGTACTTCATGGAGTTATTTCAAAAAATTCATTTCATTTTGACAAGATGCTTAAATTAGCCCATCCATATATCAACACCCCCCCCCACACACACACACACATTCTATTAATACTACCTTCAGCATCCTTATAAACAACAGATCTGAACCTTGTCCTATCCTGAGCTGTCCTCAGGCTCTCCATCCTCGGGATGCTCAAACCCCTTGTTAAAGTGACCGTGTAATCTACACCTTTAGGATAGTTCTGTCCTTCACTGAGCCTCTGCCTTTCCCAGAATGATCTAAGAACAGGCCTCTCCTGATAACATCACCTAGTTTCACTTCCTTCAAGACAAGTTTCTTTGTTCTTTTGGCAACCCATTGTATATCCAGTACTCTTCTCCAACACAATTCAGAGACATCAGTTCTTTTTGTTGTTCCTTATTCAGTGTCGAACACTCAGAAGCATACAATGCAATTAAAAATACTGTGACTTTGGTCAACTGAATCTTAGTATTTAAACTGATGCCCTGGCTTGTTCACATTTTTTAAAAGTCCTTTACAACAGATATTTCCAATACAACCCCTATTTTGTTTCTTAACTGCTGCTTACATGGGTTGTGGATTCAAGTAAAATGACATGCGTGACAACTTTAATCTTTTCTCCAGCTATCATGATGTCTCCTGTTGGTCCAGTGGTGAGGATTCTTGTTTTCTGTTGAGATATAATCCATATTTAAGATTGAGATCTTTGATCTTTTTAATAAGGGCTTTGAGTCTTCTTCACTTTCTGCAATCAGGATTATGTTATCTGTATAACATGGGTTGTTAATGAGTCTTCCTCCAATCCTGATGCCACATTCTTCTCCATAGAGTCCAGCTTCTCAAATTATCTGCTCAGCATGTGGATTGGACAGGCAACATCCATGTAGATGTGTTGTATTCCTATTGATTGTATTTTCATGTATGCCAATTAAAAGACTAAGGTACTCATGATTCAGACCATGGTCTTTTCAGTTATTTGCTGTGCAGGTGAGAGCTGGACAATAAATAGAAATGACAGAAGAAGAATTGATGCCTTTGAGTTGTGATGCTGGAGGCAAATACTAAGGATCTCACAGACTGCTTAACAGATAGAATGGCTGGAGAAAGTGCAGCCAGAGTATTCCTTTGAGGCAAGGATGGAGAAACTTTGTCACATATACTTTGGGCCTGTTGAGAGGGGCTGTTCTTTGGATTGGTTCATCACACCTAGAAAGGTAGAGGGAGGGTCAGTGAAGGAGAGGAAGGCTTTCAATGAGATGCATTCACACAGTGACTGCAGCAATAGGCTCAAGTATGATACAGGATAGAACAGAGTTCAGATCTGTTTTTCATAGGATCACTGAATCATACCCGATTCAGTGGTGCCTAACAACAGCAACAACAATAAGCATGTTTGGTGGTGAATTAGGTGTTTCGCTACTAACTAAAAGATCAGTAGTTTGAAACCATCAGAGGCTCCACGAGAGAAAGATAGACAGTCTCTTCTCTTGAAGATTTACAACATCAGAAAGCAAATGGAGCACTGTCATCCACTGGGATCTACTGGGCAGCTCTGAGTTCCTGGGATTTAAGCATATTAATACTAATTTGTGACTAATTCTTCTACAATTGGTGTGACTGTAATAATGATATTTCCAAAACCACTTTCCATCAAAAAATGTAGATAATTTAATATTCTTTGGGATTATTGCAGCAATGTGTAACAATGTAGGATTTGCTGGAATTATTCCCCAAATCTCAGTCCACTACTCAGCCTTTCTCTGAGTCACTGGGAGACCAGCAAGCACAGAAGAAAGGCCCCTCCTGCTGTTCCATGGAGGTCTGGACTAGGTGGCATGAGGGCTGAACTGGGCTGGGAATGGCCTTCTGTAAAACTGAAGGCCTTTGCCTACATAGTCTGTTATCCAGCCTGAGAACGTTCTTTGTCTATATAATTTTTTTTATGCTTTCATTCTGTAATCACTAGTTCACAGTGTACCAATCAAGATAAGTGTGTTTAACATGGAAGACTCAGGAGTCTTGAGGGTCTTTTACTTATTTATTTCTATGGCTTTATTTGTTTGTTGTTAAGTCTTTAACAGTTTGACCCCATATACAGCTCCCTGGAGTAAAAGCATTGAGAGATGGAGAATTTTGCCAGGGAGGTCACTTGTTTGCCATTTTTAATAAACACAAATAATTCCCTTTTCCCTCAGTCCCACATTCTTTGGCTCATTAAATCAACTTCAGACCTTTAAAAAAAATGCAAAAAAAAAAAAATAAAAATCCTGGCAAATGGAAGCAAATGCTCTAACTATGTATTCTCCAGAGAATGCTTACTCGAGTCCAGCAGGTCAGGCCAAAATCAGTTTCTGTCAAACAGCCTAACACCTCGAGTTATTATAAAATGAGTGATCGGAACAGGGGCCTGAGCTCCAGGCTCTCCTGGAGCACGGCTGTGGATCCACAGCCCGCAATCTGGCTGCTCCGTGTTTGTGCCCTGGCTTGTTGTTATTTCTTCTTTTTTACTCCTCTCTGACAGCAGACAGCTATCAAGAAGTCAGAATGGATTTCTGTTGGGAACTCATGAATAATGTTTACTCTGCTAATCCAGAGAGGGGAAAATGGTTTTCAAACACTGCAAGGCAGGCCTGAGGGCAGAGGTGTGGTAGGGTAGCTGGGTGATAAGATGTATGCACACAGATCTTAGCTCTGAGCCACTGCAGAGAACAGAGCCCTCTGAGAAAACCTTGGAGTTTTCACCCCAGAGTCCTTGCCCTAGCGTGTGTGGGTTGTAGAGATTTACTGACTTGTTGTCTGTGACACACCAGTGAGATAACAGGCCAGGAAATGAAGTGGAATTTGATGTATTAACTAGGAAGCAGCAAAGGAAACCAGGCTTGTGTTTTATTTGTTATTATTTCCCTAATATCCTCAATTAGGTGGCTCTCGCACCAGTGAGTCTGATCTGTGGGACATTGGATGGTGTTGTCTCTGTGGGTTCTGGGGACCAGGGAGGCAGGCAGTGGATTCCTGCCTGGGGCACAGGCACTAATGCTTTTTCTTCTCTGTTCCCAGGCCTGTCCCAGGCTCTCTATCTTCTCTGCTACACCTCCACAACAGACAGAGACAGCCCATGCCAGCCTCCATGCCCGGGACCCTGCCCAACCCCACAATGCAGGGCTCCTCCGCCGTCTTGATGCCAGTAAGTGCTTCTGTGTGTCTCACCATGGTTTCTCACTTCCTCTGGGGCTTCCTGCTTTTGAAACAGTAAAGGAGAAGCTAGGATCTAGACTGACAGAGGAATCCCTGGATGGTGAAAATTATTAATATGATGCATTCACTTAAAGGTTGGTGGCTCGAGTACACCCTGAGTCAACAGATGAAAAGCCTAATGATCTGCTTCTTAAAATTGAGTCATTGCAAACTCTGTGGAGCTCAGTGCTCAAGTCTGACACACACATGATAGTGAAGAGTTAGAATTGACTCCATGACAACTGTTTTTGTTTTGTTTGAAGACCTGACTGGAAAAGAGGGTGGCTTCTCTTGAGCAGGGAGTTGAGCCCTGTGCCCATTTCCCTGGAGTGCCAGTTACGGGTCCCAGGGCGTGTTGCTGGCTCTTTTATCCTGCAGTGATTGCTAGTCAGGCACAGTCCCATCTCTGTGCTGACAAGCGGGCCTGCCATGCCCAGATAATGAGATTTGTTTGGGGATACAGCATTTTGTGACAAACAGAAGTGTATAGCTCCAGCTGTCTACAAAGTGTCCTTCAATTGTGTGGTCTAGACTCTAGACAACAAGTAAAATGGTAACAATATTAACGGTTGTGTACTACAGAAGCTAGCATGTATCCATGTGTTCCATCTTCTATGGCTTATGTTACCAGCATTTATTGAGGGCCTGGTACCTGCTATTCATTTATCTATACACTTCTTAGGAACGCTTAAAACAAACCACCTGGGAGATAGATACGATTACTGTTTTCATTTTTTTGAATGAGGACATTGAGATAGGTAACTTGCTCTCTTGAGACCAGGAATTCTGGCTCCAGAGCTCATTCTCTCACTCAGCACATGACCTGTGCTTGGATTCTTTGCCTCTTACATTTCCACAGTGAGCAATGTTAGTGCTCCCATTTTACAGATGAGCAGACACAGGCACAGAGGCACAGAGTGACTTGGCTCAGGTCGTAGAGCTAGGAAATGATGGAGTCAAGATTTAAATTTAGATAGTCTAAACACTGAGTTAATATTCAGTGTTCATATTAAGATTGTGAGTCAATATACTTTTCTGCCCTCAAAAGGATAGATAAGGGTAGATGGAACCGGAGATACAGAGCATATGCTGTCTCTTGTCCCTTCACACCTTGTTCTTCAATTGTAATTGGTATTACTGTTCATGGGCCACAAGAGGTCTCAAGAGTCTTATAGGTATTGTTGCATTTGAATTCACACCTTCTCATTTACAATCCTAACAGCAATACTTTGCACAATATTTTAGTTCAGAATGGATTGTCTAGTTTTTTTATTTCATTTTGCTTTCATAATGAAATAACATTCTTGTGCAGATATGGTAATAGAAATTATTGTTGTACTCATTTTACAGATGAAAAATTGAAAACCTATTTTACAGATGAGAGAAGCTGTCTAATGTCATAAAGTCTGTAAATGAAACATTATGACTAGAATTTGCGTCATATGTCATGCTGAGCAGCTCAGGCCAACCCTGATTAAATAATTTGTTAGTTCATCAAAGTGAAGGCTGGGAAAGGGTTGGCCTCAGTTTAGAGAAATGGGCCTGCCCAATGTAAATACGCGATAGCGGTCATGTTAGAAAGTCTTTGCCAAATTAGGCTAGAAAGACAAATTCAACAAAGTGACTTTACCTGCATTTCTCCCCTTTAGCTCTTATACACATGAACTCATTGCTGCTGAGTGGGAACTTGCCCATAGCTGACCCTCCATGGAGCGCTGGGACTGTAAATCACATGGGAAGAGAAGGCTGATCTTTTTCTTACAGTCACTGGTGTATTCCAGCCCACAGAGAGGCTCAGCCAGCTGCACCCCCCCCTTCAACCCTGCGCCAACACACCCCTGTAGAAACAGCACCAATGAGGCAATTTTTATCCCAGATTTTAAAAACTAATAAAACGAAAACAAACAAAAAACTCAAACTTACCAAGTATATGCATAAAGATTTCCACCATAAACTTAGTCTCCAAATCCTCTTTGTCCAAACCTAGTTTCTTTTTCAGGCCTTGGTGGTGCATTGGTAAGGAGTTGCAGGGCCAGCCTGCAGGCACAAGGCTCAAATATACCAATGGAGTGCTCCACTGGGGAAAGATGGACAGTCTCCTCCTGTGCAGTTTACTGCCTCTGAAAATGTGCTGGAGGGTCCACTGTTTATGTACGTTCAGACTTGATGGCACACAACAATAATAACAACAAATATTAGAGCTCTGGTGGCTTGTTGTTACTGTTGATTGCCATTGAGTTGAACACGACTCACAGCCACCCTATGAACAAAAGGCCTGAAGCCTTTCTATAACTATCATTGTTTATCAAAGTCCGTAGAGTTTCCACGTTGTTTAGGAAGTGGATGCTGGTGGCTTAGTGGTAAGGAATTGTGCTGCCAATCTATAGGCATAGGGTTTGATTCCACCCGCTGCCCCACAAAAGCAGGATGGCAGGCTCTCCTGTGATTTACTGTCTCTGAAAACCCACTCAAGGATCTGATACACCTTAATAGCACAGAACAACAGTATGCATTATATTAATTAGGAAGCTAGCTCTGAAGTGATTTCTCCCTTTGGTCAAACTGTATGCCATTTCCAGTGACAAAGGCTGGGCTGAAATAAGGCCAGTGATAAAGCCACTTTAGTACTAATATTAATTTATACCACATCATCTCATCATATTCCCTATCTCCTACTGACATTTTGCAGTAGAAGCCAAAGTTCAGATACATTGTCAAGAGCCATTCTAGACGAACTCAGTGAGGTCACCCTAGTGATAGTTTCCATACCAAAGTTAGAGAGGGGTCCAGTCATGATAGTAGGAGCCAGTGGAAAGCAGTGGCCTCAACCAGGGTTCATGCGGCAATGTTGATAGATATTGATGATTGGCATGGCAGGGAAGGAGGGGGGAGGGAGATCACTGGTATCTAATGGGTAGAGGATAGTGATGCCACTAAGCACCTTACAGTGCACAGGACAGCCCCTCACAATAAAGATCACTCATCTCAAGATGTCAGTAGTGCCACGTTTGAGGAACCCTCTTCCACAATGATGCTAATGCAGCTAGAGAAAACTCATATAAGAACTCCGAAAAGGATATCGTGTCAGTCATTATCAGTAAAACCGACTGCAGTGGAGTTTGATTTTTACTCACAGCAACCCTGTGTGTGGCAGAGCAGAGCTGTGTTCTTTAAGGTTTTCTTTCAATGGCTGGTTTTCTGCAAGCAGTTTGCCAGGCCTTTCTTCCAGGGTGCTTCTGGATGGATTTGAACTTATATTCTTTCGACTGACAGCTGAGCACATCAACCATGTGAGCTGCCCAGAGTCTCCTAGAAATCTGGAACTCTCTTTCCTTCTGATCAATCATATCAGAAGCTCTGGTGCTGTGACATAGCATATCAAGCCCAGTTAGAGAACAACTTCATCCTTTAAAAGCCCTGCATTGGGGAGCCATGATTTCTTGGGAATAAAAGAAAAACTTATTGGTGAGTGCTGTCAGACCATACATTTTCACTTCCAAAGCCCCAGACCTGAAGCATAATAATGTATTTGTTCATTAATTCACACATCCATTCATCCCACATGGTTTGTTGAACAATGCTGAGGAAGATTATTTCAGAGTTTACTGAGTTGTGAGTTCCATTTTGAAAGTTAAATAAGTTAGTAATTTGGAATATGAACCCCTTGTAAGAGCTTAGTGAACTTCAGATATACTATTATTTTTAGCTTTTACCAGATAAAAAAAAAAAAAAAAAACCACAAAATGAAATCTTATCTGGGAGTTTTACCTATAATGTTGCTCTTTATTCAGTAGAGGCTTTCCCAACCTTCAGACATTATTGTGGAAAAAAGTAGAAGGACAGTGAAAGAGAAGACCCTCAAGGATATGGATTGACAAAGTGGGTGCAACAGTGAGCTTCAACGTGGTAGAGATGGCGAGGATGGCACAGGACAGGGCAACGTGATGGGCAGGAGAGGTCTGTTCTATCCATACAGTCATTAACAAGTCAGATTTAGCTTTACGTAACAACAACTATAACTACAGCATAACTTCTCTGAAAAATGCGAAGGAATGCTGACTTGTGCATCCAGAGTTGCCAAGTGGGGCTACTCACGTTCTTCTGTGGAAAATGGTAGCTTGGAGAACTCTGGAAAGTCACGTACTTCTGAAAGCCTCCTTTGGAAAGCTGAGAGGAAAAGCTTGCTAATGCTTTGTTTACCCTCTAAGAGAGGGGCCACCAATTGAAATGTGGCATCAGATGCTATGCCAACTTCCCTGTCTGTCCCACTTTTGAAAGTGGGAGTTACAAGTATTAATACGCTTTTTTTTTTTTTAAAAAAAAAGTGATGGTCCTGAATTCTTCAGTACTTAAAATTTGAATGGCTAAGCTCTGCTAGATCACGTAGAGAGGAGAGACGTGCTGCTAAGTCACACAAGAAGAGATTGCTTGTCTTTCTCCTAAGGAGCAGTTGGTGAATTTGCACTGCATGCCTTTGGGTTGGCAGTGCAATACCTTACCGCACAGTCACTAGAGCTCCCACTCAGTGCTAGAGAACTGATTAACTAATTTAAGCTCAGGAAAGGCTGGTGGTGCATTATTGTCATAGTGTTATACCGAGTAGCTGCCACTCATTGAACGGGATTTTGACTAACACTTCTGCTCATCTACAAATTAATGCCAAACTTATCCCATCCCCTTCTCCAGGCTGGACAAAATGAAATTACAGAGCCATAGAGTCTCAGCAATGTGAGAGACTCTAAAAGGAGTCACTGAGTTCATTCATTCCCCACAGTGTCAGTCTCTTTACATAAGATTTCCCATTCTTTGGGCCCCTAGAATTTCCAACCATTGTTTTTATTCCTGTCCTTTCTCAAAAATGGAAAATAATTTCATTGAACTGTTTTCTTTCATTGAGGCAAGTCTAATGATTTTCTGTGTTATTTCAATATGAGTAGACTTGCTATATTCCAGTTCTTTGAGGAGTGTTAATTAAACAGACTATTATTAACACATTGCCGCAAATAAAGGCTGTTGCCGTCCTGCACATTTTGATTAATAAAAAGAGGAACATCATTTATACGAAGTGTACTAATGCATTTATTTGTTAATTATTCAGTAATACATTGGAAAAAAAGATGTAACATACCAGATAACATATCAATTGGTGTTTTGTGCGATTTTTCATGTTTAACAATTTAGAGTATTTCTGCAAATATTCAGTGAGCAAATTGTCAGTGTGTGATAATTCTCACTTCCAAACATACGACTGATGCTCAATTTCCTATGGCAGTCATAAACAATTGAGAAAAAAAATGTGTTTCTAAGCAGGGTTGTCAATTTAAAAGTGTGCCGCAACGTGTTAATCAGACCTGCCCTCCCACCTGAAATAGAGACTTTCCCCCCTAATATTTAACTAAAGGAGGCTATTCTGCAGACAAAGATAATAGGACTCAATCCAGGTGTTTGAGTGCTGGTGTCAAGCCAGTGGCAGGCTAACAGGATAGCCACGTGGAAGCAAACAATCCCCTCAACTGCCTCATCACTCGACAAAGACCTAACTCTACTGTGAACCTTAAAAAGGCTACCGCACAGGTGGCAGGAAAGAGGAGATGTGCCCAGGAAAGCAGATCAACTCAACATGCTGTCTCTACTGAATCACTTCGATGAGGTTTCTGAGTTAGACAGGAAGGCTTACCATTTTGAGAGCCTTGATTTTAAAGATAATTTCTTCATTTTTCTTATTACCAAGAATGATTCTTGTTTGCTGTATAAAATGTGCTATTGTTATGTACTATTGAGTTGACTTTAACTCACAGAGATCCTATAATGTGAACCTCTGCAGAACCACCCTCGTGATCTCCAATATACAGGAGCCCATTGTAACAGTCACTGGGTCAGTCTGTCTTGTTGAGCATCTTCCTTTCTTTCTCTGGTCTTCCACCTTTCCTAAGATGATGGTTTCTTCCAAGAACTGAATGGGAAAATCCATAGACAGCCTAGAGAACCATTTGGTGCAGTGTTTTTTTTCTGTGCATACATTATTTTTTATAACACTGAAGGTAATAATGGGGATGGTGTGTAATTCACCCACTCAGTCATTGCCCTTGAGTTGGAACCAACTTGTGGCTGACCTTCAGTGGGTTTTAAAGACTATAAATTACATGGAAGGAGAACATCCATTTTTCTCCCGTGGAGCTGCTGGTGGATACGAACCACTAGAGTGGTTATTAGCCTTTGAGTTAGTAGTGCAGTCCCAATGGGGTATGCTAGCAGGCTCCCCTGAGGGCTGTGTATTGGTCTCTAATTTATGTCAGACTGGCATTTCTTTATAGTAACTCCTGAGAGGGCCTTTTGGGCGAAAGGTACGAAATATCCTTCTGATTTTTAATTACAAGCACATATATAAAAGTATCCAAAATTGTGCTTTCTCTACAAGTTGCTCCACATCAAAAGGAACTGTGTTGTCACTGAAAGTGATTGCCAAGCAAAATTACAGAGCAATACACAGCCCCCAGGGGCTCTGGTAGCAAATCCCATTGGGATTACACACCAGTGTTCATAGCAGCCTTATTCACCATAGCGAGAACACAGAAAAAGCCCAAATACCCAAACACAATGGAATTGGATTGAGAAATCATGGTACATCACACAGTGGAATATTATGCAGCACACAGGAGCAATGATTTTGTAAATTACTACCTAACATGAGAGAGACTGAAGAGCATTATGCTAAGTGAACTAACTCAGTCTCATAAAGACAAATACTGAATAGGACTGTTATTGTAGAGCGTGTACAAAGATCCAAGGTGGGGGCGGGGAGAGGCCTTAAATGTAGGGTCGCACAATTTGATGGGTGGAGCGAGGGATTGGTAAAGGAAAGGGGGAAAGCCTGGTGTGAAAAACAATGTATATGAACTTGATGAACTTTGTATGTAAGCCAGTAAAATAAAATTTAAATAAAATTTTTATAAAAGAAATGCTAAACAGTTCACTTAGAGGAGAAGTGCACCTTCATGTAAGACCCAGACAGCCTTCCTCAGACTTTTAATTCCCTTGCCTTCCTTTCTCTTAGATGGAGAGACAAATGTCCGTGAACTCCAACATCATGGGGATGCAAGGCCCAAATCTCAACAACCCTTGTGCTTCTCCCCAAGTTCAGCCAATGCATTCAGAAGCCAAAATGGTAAATACCCATATAATCATCCTTTCAGTATTTCATGCTTTTTTTTGCCTTTTGACTTCTGTTCCAACTCCAGGACTTCAGTCAAGGTAGATGGTCGTGTCTTTGTTCGCATGAATAGGGCTTTCTGTGGAAAGGCCGGAGAGAGATTGGCTCTCTCTTTGGGGATATTTGTTACTAAACTTTGGCGTCAAATGATCACTTAAGAAGTATTGGATCTGCATGTGGTGTTGGTGAAAGGGACATTTACATGTTTGGGGAAAGCCGTAAGTGTTAGGATGGGATGCACGCAAGTATATGTTTGTTTTTCAGAGTGTGAAACAAAAATAAATTCACTTTCTCCTTCTTCATGGTAGTTGCAATTCCATGTGCCCTGTAAAAAGCTTCAGTTCTGAAACACACATTATTATAGAAATAATTTGCATTTTTTTCCCAGTGTCAGTTTTAACACTGATTGGAAAGGATCAAAGTCTTGTTTTCTTAGAGGTTAACTGCAGGCTTTCCTTGCTGAAAGTCATGATTTTAGGTGACAACCTTAAGTGGCTTTTAACATTTGAGATTTATACACAGGAAAGCCAATATTTTCAATCAGAGTGATAGGGTTATTCAGATCAAGTGTTCTACATATTAATGAAAGTGATGCGTGTCCATCTTCTCAATATAAAGTAAACCTGCTGACTGTTTCATGGAATTACTCTCATAGTGAAATTCTGACCACCACAATTAGTAAGCTATCAGATGACAACAAAGTACCCTCCGGCACAGGTTTTCAGTGTCTGCCGTTGGCTCAGGAGCACTCTTACTAGAATTTGGAGATAGATGCATTTGGTTTGTTGAGTGACTGCGTCAGGGATTATGACTGATGGTGAATTTGAGGACCTTATTGACCGTTCCAGCCCTGTGTGAACGTGGAGTCAGATCCAGTGACTTGGTTTTCAGTGACAGCGTTTTTTGTTTGTTTTTTTTTTTGATGCCTGCTTTGGCCAATTACCTTTGGAAACTTTATTCATTTGCCTATAGCTTCTTGACCCAAGGAAGCAACTGAATCCCAGCCTTGGCTGCCTTCAAGCGCTCTCAACACTGTGCCACAGCCTCCGTCTGCTGTGTGCCAAATGGCACTAGCTTCTGTAGCAAAGCTCGTTAAATCTTTTTGGAATCGGCAAATATTTTTTCAGCTCGAACCTTGCAGAGCCAAACCAAATACTTGCTGGCAGAGTGAAGTTCAAACTGGCATGTTTTGGAGACCAAAGTAATACTATTTACCTTTTTATTTATTTTTTTAAAAGAAAAGAAAAAAAATAAACTGTTAATGGTACTTAAGAAATAACAAGATTAAATTATCTGTGCACAGGAGTCCATGTTCTGGATTTAAGTCTCAGATGCTTGTCCCCCAGCTGGGTGATTGCCTCATCTTCTTGTTTAGTTCAGCATCTGTGTTCCCTCTGAGGGACCATCCAGACAGCACTGGATGAATCCCGAGTCACTGTTCCAAAGCTGATTCCTCTGCCAATTGGATAATTAGGCAAGTGTATTTTAATACATCATTTAGTATCTCTATTTTCTTTCTTCTTGCTTTGTACACTAGATTAGCCAGTCCCTGCCATATATGAATGTACAGAATTTCCAGGCAGCTCTGGACTATTCAGATGAAAAGCTATTGTGATATACAAAGTAAAGTAGTGAAGAAGAAAAAAAAATTCCATGATTTTAATGTCAGTCAGAGTCTTCACAGGTTTATCTGAACTGTGGGCTTTGTTGTTCTAGGCCTAATTTTCTTTTTTGTGTCAGACTGGAATGGATTCCAGATTGCAGGCTCAGACTCTCATTTCACTGTTTTCAAGGACTCTTGCGAAGGTCACACACAGGCTATTGTGATGAATGCATTCAGCTGGGTGTGTTCAGAGCACATTGGTAACCAGAGAGCTCCAGGGGAGGTGTCGCCTGCACAACACTGCAGACTTACTCTCCTGCGGGCAGCAATGCCAGGAGTGTCCATTTCTCACTCTCTGTTGGCCACTGACAAAAACAGTCATCCTAAATCTCTAGTGAAAGTTGGAGATTGACGGAAGTTGAAGACAGCATTGTAGGCTACTTTGAGCTTTGTTACAAGCTGGTTCACTAGTAACTGCCCATTAAAACATAGCAAGATCTTTATCCCCAAATCGACTGACAAATTGTATTTTTGAAAGGAGCAAAAGAGATGTCCTTAATAAATTGTGTGAATTTAGTGGATCCTAAATCAAGAAGCACACATTTTCTAATTAATAAGGTCCCTGGGTGATGCCAGCAGTTCACTTTTAGCTACTGACCTGAGTTAGCAACCCACCCAGTGATCCTGCAGAAGAAACGGGTGGCAGTCTGCTTGTGTAAAGGTTATTGTTGTTAGGGCCCATGGAGGTGACTATGACTCGCAGCAACCCTAGAAAAAACAGATTAAAACCTTGACCTGTTCTCGGCCATCCTGTTGATCTCTGTTATGTGCTAGCTGATTGTTACTGTGCCAGTTCATCTTGTTGAAGGTCTTCCACTCTTTTGCTGACCTACTTTTCCTAAGGGTTTGTACTTTCTCACAACCTGCCCAAAGTACATAACATGAAGTTCTTGCTGTGGAGGAGCATCCTCGTTGCACTTTCTTTGAGACAGATTTGTTCTTTTGTCAGTCCGTAATATATTGCACCTGAGTCAAGCTATTTCATTTTCATTGTATCATATGCATGACAGGGAATTCTGGTAGTCTAATAGGTAGAGTTGCACTGCCAACCCAAAGTCAGTGGTTCATATCCACCAACTGCTCTATAGGAAAAAAAAATGGACAATCACCTCCCATGCTATTTATGCCTTGAAAAACCACTGGAGGGTCAGCCATGATCAACAGCAATGAATAATAACAACATATGTATGTGAAAGTTGGACAGTGAATAAGGAAGACCAAGACAGAATTGGTGATATAAATATAATGACTAAGGAAACTCTGTGAGCTCAGGTGTACCCTGTAGCACTTAGAGTCGCCATGAGTTCAAATTGGCTTCATGACCATGGACTTGATCTTTGATTTTAGCAGCAAGCACTACGCTTCAGTTTCTTATAACTGCATCTGTCTAAGCTAGTCTTATCATAATTTTGGCAAGTTATAATTTAGTTTATGGATTTTTCCCCCCTGAACAATTAAGACAACAGATGCATGACTTTGCAGTTATACAAGTGAGCAAGCACACACTGGATTTCATTTGGGAGTCAGACCAGATGCATAGCAGGATGGGCCTTCCACTTTTCTATCTACACCAAATAGCAGACTCTTTCATGTTCTGAAATCCATGGGTGTCTTGGATAAAAGTGGAGTCTGCTAGAAAGAATGTTCAATGAACACCTAGTTGACAGTTTTAGCACTCAAAAGGGAAGGGGAAGATCCCTGGTGGGTCAGTCGTTAAGTACCCGGCTGCAAGTTCAAACCTACTGACCGCTTCCATGAGAGAAAGGTGAAATAGTCTGCTTCTGTGATGATTACAATCCTGGGGACCCTAGAGGACAGTTCTACCCTGTTCTGCAAGATTACTAAGCACCAAAAGATACCCAACAGCAACAGAGGAGGCTTTGTAGTTATTGTTCAGTTCTTTAAGGGGTGGGGGTGGGAAGAGCTGAATATAAGGCCAAGCAGAGAGAAATGGAAAAAGGGAGGTGGAGGGGTGGGAGAACAAAGGAAAGGAAAAGGGCAAAGAATAAAGGCCACATGCCCAGGCTCTGTAGGAGGAGCTCTGGTGGCCTAAGCCACAGGGAGTTGTACTGCTAACCCAAAGGTCTCGCCTCAGTAGTGGTTCCATGGCTCTTTGGGGAAAAAAGGATAGGCAATTCCCAGGCTATTACAGTCGTAGAAACCCAGTCCAGTGGAGGGTCAGCTATGAGTGGTTCTGACTCAGCAGCAATGAGTTTGAGAGTTGGGTTGTAGGGTATAAGTCTTATACATGTGTATGGTTGTGATGTTCTCAGACTGATGTACATTTTCAGTTCTTTTTACTTATTGGAACAGTTGAAGTGCCTCATCACCAGCCTAAAGATGAATACTTAGAATCTAGTAGTTAAGAGGTTTGTTGTTCGAAGTGCCTCGTAAGACAAGCCTTGTAATCTGCTTCTGGAAGGTCCCAGCCTTGCGGGTGCTGTGGAGCCAACCTGCCCCACATACACGGCGTCTCTCTGATTCGGAAACCACTTGGTAGCAGCTAACAACATAATAGCTTTCCAGAAGCTTTTGCTTTGCTTCTTATGGAAACTGGGAATTCTTGTGCCTACTATAGAAGATAAAAGCAGAACTTGTCCATTATCTATTTCATGTCTCTTTGCTTATGATATGGAGTTCTGGTGGCCTAGTGGTAAGAAGCTGCCCTGCAATCCCAAAGGCAGATGATTCGAACCCACCATGGGAGAAAGGTGGGCAATCTCCTTGCATGTGGTTAAACTGCCTCTGAAAACACTCTGGAGGGTCAGCTGTGAGTTGGTTCTGACTGGAAAGCACACAACAATAACGATCGAGTATTTTTATGTAGAAAAGCAGGATGACATAGCAACTCTATGAGGAGGACTCTGACAAGGATAGTAAAGCTCAGAGAGCATTTATAAAAGAATTACATCTGGGCAGAGTGGACAATAGTGCTTTCTGATCTCCTCTCATGTGCTGGTACAGCACATTGCATACGTGAGGCCTGATTCAGTCTTAAGGGCAGCATTGAAACAGAGTCATTGTCTCCACCTTACAGCTGGGACAATGGAGAGTCTGAAAAACTGGTCGAGGTAATACAATTTTGTTGTTGTTAGCTTTTGTGGAAAGTCAGCCTCCACCTCCTGGTGACCTCACATGAAATGGAAGGAAGTGCTGCCTGGTCCTGATCTACCTTCATGAGGCCTCGCTTGATTAAACTGTTGTGATTCATAGAGTAATGACTGATTGATTTTCAGAAGTTGATCACTGGGCAATTCGGCTAATGCCTCATTTCTTCATAGCACTCTTTGAA